CTCCATACCTGTACCGTATCGCTACAGTTAATGCAGATTATCGACATTTTAAAACACTTTTAATAAAACAGATTTTTAGACAACAAAATGATGATTTTAGGAAAGATTTTGTCAAATCTTATTTTCTGAAATATTTTAGTAACGTAGATAAAGTTGATAAAACATGAATATATATAAAGCAATGAAAGCAAAGCTGTGACATCATACAAGAAAAATTTTTCTGATAGAATGAATAAACTTGCAAAACATTAAACCTAAAAGTATCATAAATTAAGAAAACAATGTTAAAAATAATATATAGCATATTGAAAAATTAATATTTTAATGTTGAAACTAAATAACAAATTAAAATTAAAATATTGTTTCACAATTATTTTCACAATTTATGATTTTTTACTTTTTTCAGTTAGGTTTTTGAATCTTGATCATAAATCTTCAATGATATTCCAGAAACGTCTTTTATTTTCATTAAATATTTCAATTGTTTTATTCACGTTACGTACAGTAAAATATTATTTGGCGTGTTCTTAAAATTGATTTATAATATCCTGCAAATTACATAAATTGCTTATCCGATATGAAAACTATTAAATGTATTACATTTTAGAACCAGAAGCACCTAGTAATTGCACTTTCACAATGAATAACAACAGCATAGTTGATCTAAAGTGGCTTCATCCTTGGAAAACAGGAGACCATCTGCGATCCTTTCGCATTCAGTTAGTAGAAATATCCTCAGATCTTAAAAAGCGTCTTGTACAAGGACCTACAAATAAAAACTGGACATATGAATACCCGGTTACTCAATACATGTATAATTATAGCAAGCGATTGTATTTATATCCCTCAACGAAATATCTCATCTATGTCCAAACGGTGACAATCGCAAATAGGACTAGAAGCTCAAATTCTATGGAAATTTATACGCCATCAACAATATGTTTTGATGGTGACTTGAATGTCAGAGTGCAGAAATCAAATTCTATTTCGTTAAATATACCGTCTGTTGTGAACGACACGCAAGGCAGCATGATGTTCGTTATTATAAAAGGCTCTAATCCTTGCGATCAACATTTGAACTTGTCTAAAAGTTTGCAAGTGCGAGCTGGATTAAAGATGGACGAAGTCGCTTGGTTAGCTGCTGAAGTTCCGGTATGTAGAAAATTGTATTACTTGTGCATATAAATTTTCTACAATATATAAACTTGTATTAATAATAAAATAATGATTAAAGGAATTTAGGCGCAACAACGCTATTATACATCTGAGTTTTATACGTGCCATTAATTTCTGTATAAAATTGATACTATATAACTTATAGTTGTGATATAAATAAGAATAATAATAAAAAGATATTTATACATTTTATATTTGAAATTTAATATTTATACATATGTATATTTCGGATCATGTATCTTTGTTTCTATTTATTGCGACAGATCAATGAGCTCGCTGGCAAACTATTCATAGTTGGTGACAATAAAATTTATGGAAATGCGAAAAATTGTCCATTAAAACCTAACGAATCTTATGAAATAATAGTTATGATAATTGAAGCAAATTTGTCTAACAAACCGATTATACTTGCAAAGTTAATTCGTACCAGTAAAGCTCTATATCACGAAGTGTGGTTTGTACGTTGCTTGGTGTTGGTTTGTACGCTCGTGATATATCTCATTATAGCAAGTATATCTTTTTACTTATGTCAAAGGTAGTATCTTTTCTTTAAAAAAAAATAGTAATTGCTTGTTCCAATCTATTAACATTTATCGTATAAGTATTAAAATAAAGAATCTATTGTTGCAGCAAATAAGATTTTGATAGAATAAACTTAATTTTATTGTGCTGAAAATCGATACATTATTTTAAGGAAATGTCGACGATCTACTGAAGAACTAATGCAGTATGAAACAGCTTGTCAGAATATTCAAAAGTCTGAAGAAGAATACGAATCGATATATATGGAGAATGAATACGAATCGATGTATATGGAATCCATTATATCATATTCAGAACAGGATCAGTCAGAAATTTCTGACAGACAATCCTTGTCGGATGAAATTATTTCGGAAGAGCTATCATTTGCCATGAAAGATAATGAAGAAGAGGAAGAAATGACATCGTTAGTCAAGGTGAAAGATTTCGAAGATTATGTCAAGCAAGCAATACAATCAAGATTGCTAGATAAACAGTACAAAGTAATTTCTTTTATCTTATTTTAAATTACTACATTATTAAATTTTTTTTTTAATATTTCTTGAGGAA